ATACTGGTCGCGAAAGCTTACGTGTTAAAATGAATCATGCAAATCAAATTCCGACCAGATTAAAACCTCAGCAGAATTTTAACTCATTGAGCTAAAATCATTTCACAGAGTTGTTGACGGCTCCGATGCTGCTGCTGCTGCTTCTGCCACCACCACCACTGTCCTCTCCAACCTGCCTTCTGTTCGACCACAGATTCCAAAACATTCACCTCTCTCGAGCGTCTCCATTCACCTCCCATTCAATGGCGGAGCCAGGATTTTCAGGTAGGGGGGGGGCAACCCCTCCAGCAATGATGGCGCAGTCATCGGTCGAGGGTCGAATTAGAACCGTGTGTGATCGGCATCGCGCTCGCTAAAGGCGAATGCCTTCAGGGAAGTCGTGTACTGTATACGCAACTGCGCACAATTCTGCGAGTTACTTATAACCGCTTTGCCGTTACTTATTGCCAATTATGGACTCAGACTATTGTCCTATCATCTCACAGAGTCCCTGGCACATAAGAATATGCTACACAGTGGCAATGGGGGGTTGCAAAATGCTGATTTATTACTAATAAACCCCAATGATCCGATCGAAATCCCTCATTTCGATCGGATCATTGGGGGGGGGGGCACGTGCCACACCCCCCCCTCCCCCCCACTGGTTCCGCCAGTGCTCCCATTGCCCGCAGCGCCCGCGCCAGCTTCAAACTCCCTCTCGTCTTCCGCTGTCGCCGCCTAGCCGAACCTGGCGGTCAGCGGCCGTAACCCACTGCCATGCAGGCAGTGGCGAGCTTTGGTGGATCCACCAATTGCTGGATATTTGTAAAAATAACGATATTTGTAAAAATAACCTTATTTTAGGTCATCGCATTCCTCCAGTAGAAATACATATTCTGATTCACAGATGTTTTGAAACTTCCCTTCCCGATGGGCGTCGAGCACGTGCCACATACCCTGGCTCGCCAGGAGAAGGCAGTGTAGCAAGTGGACTAATCGCCACCTGTTTCCAGCTCGATGGGATAGAGCGTTGTCCCCTCGCATGTTTGGGTTTTTTTCCGGGTGCTCCGGTTCCCACTCGTATGCACTGTTTGTATGTTGAACTTCTTTCGCACCGTGCATAGCCAATCGGAGGTACGGGAGAAGGACAAAAACTTAAAGGCAAAAAGCATATCTAAAGAAATGAGTTTTCAATATAGATTTAAAAGTCTACAGCTGCAGTGGTTTCCAAATCTTAATAGAAAAACCCAGTTTTTTTATCAGTGTATAAACACTCACCGTTAATCTTAATAGAAATACTCCAGTGCACAAGTCCTAAGACTTAAAAAACAGTCTTAGGACTGGCATGGCTCATTCTGGATAAATATATAATTATTATAATATTATTACTCATATTAATTACATTCACGTCCGGATTTACTCAGCCGTTGCTTCAAGACCATTACTACCCCAAGCGTGTGAACGCGATGCCTCCCGGTTAGCATGGTTAGCTACATACGGTGCGGAAAAAGTTCAACGTACATACGTGTTGGAGTGTGTTCAGAAGTTTAGAAGTTGATATCCCGTGTAAAGCCATTGGTGCGAGCTGTTTATCTGATGTTAATAATGATGTCGATGATGGTGATGGTGGTGAAGATGGTTATGAGTTTGACTGATGGTCGTGATGGTGATAATGATGTGATGTTAATGGGAATGATGCTGGTGGTGATATTGATGGTAGGAATGATGTTGATGGTGGTGATAGTAAAGATGTTGGTGATGGTCATGATTGTGATGTTGGTGAGGGTAATGATGTTGGTAATGATGATGGTGATGATGATGATGTTGGTGATGATGATTTTGGTGATAATGATGGTGATGATGGTGAGGGTCGTGATGATGGGTGGTGGTGATGGTAGTGGTGTTGGTGATGATGTTGATGGGTGGTGGTGATGATTGCGTGTGTATCGGTTTACCCCCTTCCCTTTTACTAGGGGATGCCGTTGGTTCTCAAGATTCGGAGCCTTTCCCCACATGACCCTGGCATTGTTGTCTGTCTCGTGTCGCTGGCGTTGTGTGTCTAGTGTGTTGTCCACGTTGCCTTCTCCCATGTCGCGTTGTCCGTCTTGCGTCGTGCTGTGTGTCGCTCTCGTCTGTCTTGCGTCACGTTTGTATTGTGTCAGTCGCATTCTGTCTTGCGTCAAGTCTGTGTCGTGTCGCTCACGTTGTCCGTGTCGTGTCACTCACGTTGCCTGTCTCTTGTCGCTCGCGTTGCCTCTTGTCCGTGACACGCGGTGGCGCCTTCCCCCCGTGACGGTTGTCTTGCGTTCCGCTAGCAGGAGCGCCAGCGCCGACGCCCCGCATGCTGGACTGGAGTGAATCACTGCGCATCTGTAACACGTGCAGCGTCCGTTCACTCTCGGCGAGAGAGAGAGAGAGATCGTCATTCGGAGCAATAATTATTTGGATAGAGAGAGAAGAATTTGTAGACGGAGAATGATTCAGAGGCTTGAGAAACAATAGAACAGCAGTGGAAGGCATCCAGACTGGTATGACCCACAATTGCCCAAGTTCTGTGGTTCCTATACAGAGACATACAAACTAACGCGTTAGGTTCCAGAGGTCCGTTCGTAAGTCGATTTGTTTCTTAAGTCCAACTTTACTCTTGTCGATCCCAAACATGTTGTACCGGGTGTGCACTAAACACGGGTGACGGCTTTAAAAGTTGTATAATCTCCTGTAGATGTCGATGCCACTGGTTCTTTCGGTATGCAGATGTAGACGCCACCACCGCCATCTATTGCTCGGCGGTTGAACATACGACTCTTGGTCCGGACAGGAAATTGGACATACGGACAGCTTTGTTTGTATCTCTGAAAGTTCGCAAGTCGAATGTTCGTAAGCAGGAGGAGTCCCTGCATTGGGATGTTTGGCCAAAATAGCTCCAACGGCGAGAGACAACGCCCAGCTGCCTGGAGCGGGGTACACGGCGGCTTCCAGCCGTGGCTGAAGCCAGAACTCCCATTGAGAGGGAGGCCGAGCCATCATCAATATCTCAACCGTTATCATCATCGTCATCATCGTGTGTCCGTGTGTTGACGCGAGTGTTTGTGTTCCTGGGTGGCCTCGTGTTCATCCGTGCATGCATTCGTGTTTGCGTGGCTGCGCGTGCGTGTCGTCTCACCCCGTGTGCTTGTGTCGTTGAGTAAAATACTGACACTCCTGATTGACGTGTCAACCCCCCTGTGTCCCCCATCCCCTGTGCCTCCCTGTGTCTCCCCGTGCCTCCCCGTGTCTCCCTGTGTCTCCCCGTGCCTCCCCGTGTCTCCCCGTGCCTCCCTGTGTCTCCCCGTGTCTCCCCGTGTCTCCCGTGTCTCCCTGTGCCTCCCCGTGTCTCCCCGTGCCTCCCCGTGTCTCCCTGTGTCTCCCTGTGCCTTCCTGTGTCTCCCCGTGCCTCCCCGTACCTCCCTGTGTCTCCCCGTGTCTCCCCGTGTCTCCCCGTGTCTCCCTGTGCCTCCCTGTGCCTCCCTGTGTCTCCCCGTGTCTCCCCGTGTCTCCCCGTGTCTCCCCGTGTCTCCCTGTACCTTCCTGTGTCTCCCCGTGCTCCCCGTGCCTCCCCGTGTCTCCCCGTGTCTCCCCGTGTCTCCCTGTGTCTCCCTGTGCCTCCCTGTTTTCCTCCCCGTGTCTCCCCGTGTCTCCCGTGCTCCGGGTCTCCCGTGTCTCCCCGTGTTCTCCCTGTGTCTCCCCGTGCTCCGGTCTCCCTGTGCCTCCCTGTGCCTCCCTGTGTCTCCCCGTGCCTCCCCGTGTCTCCCCGTGTCTCCCCGTGCCTCCCCGTGCCTCCCCGTGTCTCCCCGTGCCTCCCTGTGTCTCCCCGTGTCTCCCCGTGTCTCCCCGTGCCTCCCCGTGTCTCCCTGTGTCTCCCCGTGTCTCCCCGTGTCTCCCCGTGTCTCCCCGTGCCTCCCCGTGTCTCCCCGTGCCTCCCCGTGTCTCCCCGTGTCTCCCCGTGCTTTCCCGTGTCTCCCCGTGTCTACCCGTGCCTCTCCGTGCCTCCCCGTGCCTCCCCGTGCCTCCCCCTGTCTCCCCGTGTCTCCCCGTGCTTTCCCGTGTCTCCCCGTGCCTCCCCGTGTCTCCCCGTGTCTCCCCGTGTCTCCCTGTGCTTTCCCGTGTCTCCCCGTGTCTCCCCGTGTCTACCCGTGCCTCTCCGTGCCTCCTCGTGCCTCCTCGTGCCTCCCCGTGCATCCCCGTGTCTACCCGTGTCTACCCGTGCCTCCCCGTGTCTCCCCGTGCCTCCCCGTGTCTCCCCGTGCCTCCCCGTGTCTACCCGTGTCTCCCCGTACCTCCCCGTGTCTCCCCGTGCCTCCCCGTGCTTTCCCGTGTCTCCCCGTGTCTACCCGTGCCTCTCCGTGCCTCCCCGTGCCTCCCCGTGTCTCCCCGTGCCTCCCCGTGTCTCCCCGTGTCTCCCCGTGTCTCCCTGTGTCTCCCCGTGTCTCCCCGTGTCTCCCCGTGTCTCCCCGTGTCTCCCCGTGTCTCCCCGTGCCTTCCTGTGCCTCCCTGTGCCTCCCTGTGTCTCCCCGTGTCTCCCCGTGTCTCCCCGTGCCTCCCCGTGCCTCCCCGTGCCTCCCCGTGCCTCCCCGTGTCTCCCCGTGTCTCCCCGTGTCTCCCCGTGCCTCCCCGTGTCTCCCCGTGTCTCCCCGTGTCTCCCCATGTCTCCCCGTGTCTCCCCGTGCCTCCCCGTGTCTCCCCGTGTCTCCCCGTGCCTCCCCGTGTCTCCCCGTGTCTCCCCGTGCTTTCCCGTGTCTCCCCGTGTCTACCCGTGCCTCCCCGTGTCTCCCCGTGCCTCCCCGTGTCTCCCCGTGCCTACCCGTGTCTCCCCGTACCTCCCCGTGTCTCCCCGTGTCTCCCCGTGCCTCCCCGTGCCTCCTCGTGCCTCCCCGTGCCTCCCCGTGCCTCCCCGTGCCTCCCCGTGTCTACCCGTGTCTCCCCGTGCCTCCCCGTGCCTCCTCGTACCTCCCCGTGTCTCCACGTGCCTCTCCGTGGCCCAGCATCCCTCTGGATCAGCCCAGCTTTGGCTCCCCCATGGGGGCCCCCGGGAGGATCCTGGGTGGTGGGGGCACCTTGGGCATGCCGTGCTCGGGGGTGGTGATGGCTCGTCGCGGGCGCCCCTCGGTGGGGTCGGCCGGCTCCGGGGCCCACGGAGGGCACGGGGGGCCCTATAGCTCGACCACCGGCGGAAGAGACGACATGGGGCCCGGAAATCACCCGGACCTCATGAGGGTGAGCGAGCGGGCGCATGGCGACACGGGCCGTGCGGGATTACAACCGCGCGCACGGGCGTCGTAGCTATCGAGTGTGCAGGCAGTGCAACTGCACGGGCAGGAGGGTTACCAGGCACCCGCCTACGAAGAGGGTTTGGGGTGGCGTGTGGACAGCGAGATGCCTCTTGCATTCCCCGCACTGTGGCCCACGGAAATCATGGTGGGATTCGGAGTATAAGATCCAGGCATACTCGGTGCCAATGGACTTCACAGCCAGGCTCCACACCTCCGATTAGCACGGTTGGCTACGTACAGTTTCAGTTTCGTTTCAGTTTCATGTATTAGGTATAACCCTGTGAGCCATGCGGCTCTTGCCTCGGGTGCAACTGCACCAAGCACAAACATGAACAAGAAACATCTTAAAGTGACTACAGTTGACCCCGGGCCAACTTTCCGAGGCCACAAGAAGTCGCGTTATTTTGTTATCATTGTTCCGCTCGTTCACCCGCGAGGGCCTTGACGAGTCTCGAGATTATTTTTCAGGAGGGTCTTGCCAAGCTTCCGCAGTAGCTGCTGCCACTGCCGCTAGCAACGCCGCCATTGCTGCGCGTGATCCCCCGTTCAAGTTAATTTGCAAGGGGACGTGGGCGGTAGGAATCGACTTTTTAAACAAAAGGGAAGTGGAGGATTGCTGGACACCTGGCGGTGGTGGTGACGTTCGCAAGGGGAACACGAGTCGGCCAGTATCGAGGCAGACGGAGACTCTCTCTGCACTCTCGCCATAGCTCCGGCCTCGTGAGATAGCTCGGGTCCCCACTTGGTGGGTGGCAGAGCAGGGTGGCGTAGTGGCTGTGACTCGTTCGATTCCTGACTCGGGCGCCTTCCCGCGAGGCGTTTTTGTACGCATGGGTTTCCCTCTCTGGTTCTCCGTTGTCCTCCTCTAATGGCTAAGCCCACACTCGCAGTGGAGACTGCGATCGGCCAAACCATTAGAAACCTGCAAATCACTCAAGTGGGATGACAATATCGCCCCCTGCTGTAAACACTTGGCAGGACCCATCCTTCGTAAACACTCTTAAAAGTGGTAATAATATTTCTGTTGTTGGTATGGCATTGGTATGGTTGGTATTGGTATGGCGGTGGTATCGTGTTAGTAGGGTGGTGGTATTGTGTTGGTATCGTAGCGGTATCATTGCGGTCTCGCATCGCTACGGCGTTTGGTATGTCAAGTGATATCCCACACAAAGACAAAGGTCCCCTGTATAGCCTTCACAGACTGTTGGGGCAATGGCTGTTATGGATCACCTATGAAGGTCGGCATGGCACACGAGATGATGGATGGCCAACACCACGCCCGGCTGCCTTTATCTCCCAGTGGCAATGTTTACACACCGCACCAGGTACTCATTTGAGGCTAAGTCGACCTAGGGGAGGAGGCCCAGGACCTGTTCATATCATTATCACCGGTGTTGGCCGTGAGCGGGAATCGAACTCTGTTCACCGGGTTCGTAGCTCGGCGCGCTAACCGCTACATTACTGCTCCCCAAACACACGCACGTACACACACACACACCCACTCTCGCACGCACGCACACCCTCGTCCCCCTTCTCCCCCCCCCTCTCTCTCTCTCTCTCTCCCCGCCGCGTTCCCAGCTGCTGAGCGGCGGCGGCGCCCAGGGCCTGGCGGTGCTGGGCGCCGGCCCGGGCAGCATCGCGCTGCTGGGGGCCCTGCAGGAGGCGGACGCACTGGGCCTGTGCCGCGTGCTCTACGTGCTGGCCGAGCAGCCCGGCCTGCTGGAGGGGGCGCTCGAGCAGCCCTTCCTGGCGCGCACCCGGCTCATGCACGCGCACGACGCCGACATCGCCCTCAACGACCAGCGGTGACGCGGCGGCGGGGGGGGGTGGCGGGGGTGGATTTTTTAATTGGATGCATGGTCGCGGTTAAAATAAAATGACGTGTTTGTCCGTGTGCGCGCGCTGTGTGTGTGTGTGGGGGATACGGGTGTGTTGCGGGAGGGGTACGGCACGTGTGCGTGCGGGAGGAGGCACGTGTGTTAACTTGCAAGGGGATGTACGTGTGTGTGTGTGTGTTACTGGGGAGCGGCAGGGCAGGGGTTAGTGTGTTGCACGCACTAACCCGCTTACCCGAGTTCAATTCCCGCGACATGGCCAACACCGGTGACGATTATCTGAACCGGTCTTGGGCCTGCCCTAGGTCGACTCAGCCTCAAATGAATACCGTACCTGGTGCGGTGTTTCAACATCGCCACCAAGGAGACAAAGGCGGCCGGGAGTGGTGCTGGCCACCCACCGCCCCCCCCCCCCCCCCCCCCCCCCCCCGTGTGCTGTGCCGGCCTTCATATGTGCTCGCGAGCAACACTTACCCCCGACAGAATGTTAACAGCTGTATGGGGGATCTTTTTTTTTTGGTTTTCTGTGCAGGGTGAGTGGTGTGGTGGTTTGTGCACAGCCGCCCGACGCTACAGATCTTGTGCTCGTGGCGTTACGGCAGGGTACGTACACACGTACACGCACCCTCGCTCTCTCACACACGCACGCCCCTCCCTCGTGCAATAGCAACAGCCGCCATCATTCGCCACCGAGTAGCGTTAACATCACCGCGGCACTTGTGCACTCTCAAGGCCACATTACGTGCAAGGGCTCGCCGGCAGGAAGGTCATGGGACAGACCCAGGTGCCATGGGTTGACTGACTTTGGATGACTGGCAGATGCAACACCTGTGTTCTTTACTGTGCCAAACTTTCTACGTTTTAGCCGCCCTGCGATCCACACGTTGTGAGCATTGCTCCTCAGGCTGCCGCTGTCGTTGGGGGCGACTGCCTCCAACTGCCGTAGCGTCCTTCATGAGCCTCCTCCTCCACAGAGGCTGATCTTGACACGGCTGGTACCAGTCTTCTGCAAGTCCACTCAGCTCCACATCTTCCTGTACCGCATCGGACATTCTCTTCTCTAGCCTGTACCGTGCCCATTTTGTTCCCTCTATTACATGTCGGCCAAACAGAAGCTGCTTGGGCACGTGGTGGCTATGCGGGCTACATGACCTAGCCAACACAACCTCGCCCCGCCCTTACTGATGGGACTGTGTCCAGATCTTTCAAGGATGTGTGAGCTCGCACAATCCTGCCTTGTTAAATCCAGAATGGATTGTAGGCAGGCCAGCTTGAACGTTTTGAACCCGGCAGTGATGTTCCATTCCTGGGCTTCCATGTTTTACAAGAATAGAGAAGGGGGAGGGTATGACTGGCCGAGAAGACACGAAGCGTCATGTGGCACAAAAGGCCAGGTTACTCCCACACAGAGTTCCACAGCTGATGAAGAGATAATGCCGCTCGGCTGTTTTTCTGCTTCCAAACCGGAGCTGGTCATAAGCACACTGCCCAGGTATGGAAACCTCTCCACTCTCTCCACAACTGCCCCATTACTCCCCCATCAATCATGGGGAGTTTTGGGGGTGGAGTGTTGGTTGACATCAAACATCCATGCACTGTACGTTCAGCAGCAGCACATCCAACTCCTTCTTTGAGTGAGCAGCAATCACCAGATCATCAGCACATAGAATGGTTGGCCAATAGAGAGCCATCCCTGGACCACACCCAGGCATTGATCAGCCTCCCATTGTATCTGTACCAGATATAATTTTTTCTGGTCGAGCCATGGAAAGCTTCTCGAACTACATGGTCAAAGAATAAGTTATATAATGTGAGAGCCAGAAGATATCCATGTCACACCCCGATGTTGACAGGGAATAGTTCTGACTCCCAGCCGCACAGCTTCACCTGGGCTTGCCCACAATCATGACGGTCCATAATGTTTGTGATCAGAGGGTCAGGGACCACGAAAGCACGAAGAACAACCCAGAACCCTGGCCTATTGATGGTATCATAGGCCTCAAGCAGGTCAATAAAGCAGAGACGTAGTTCCGGTTGAAATTCCCTATGCCTCTGCTGTAACCACGGCGTGCCGGGAGGGAGATGCCCCTGCAGTTGTTTCAATCAGTACGGACCCCACTTCTTAATGAGGGGTATCACCAGGGCATCATTCCAATGCTGCAGACCCCTTTCTGTGGTCCAGACAGTTGTGATGTCATATAGGGCAGTCTGCACACAGACTCCAGCCTCCCTCAGTAGTTCACTGAGGAGATAATCTCTGCCCGGTGCTTTTTTTGGTCTAAGACTCTTGGATCTCCTTTTGTACTTCCTCAACAGACAGCACTTCTGCCAGCCCCTCACAGGGGGTTGACAACTTCTTCCAATATTTGAGGCACGACAGCACCGGCAGAGTTATCCACACTTTGCCCCGTGATGTCATCTGGGCTTAAGGGGATTTCCCCTATCCCAAGACTTCACAGAAACGCTCAGCACACCTGCAGACCAATTTCTAGGGGTCGGAGATTGGATCACCATTGTTTCCCTTCATAATGGTGGTAGGTGTGGCACTGCAAGCGAGGCTTTCTCTTTACCATTTCGAACACCTCTGTTAGCCGGGTATCTGGCTGTCCGCCTGATGAAGCTAGTTCTAATTACTGGTGAAAACGTCATACTCGGATTGTAAATGTTGTGGATTTGCTCTCCAACACACAAACGGTGTGCTGTACTAGTAACGAATTGGCATGTTCTGTTTACGTGACAAACCTTACTAATTGGCTGTGTCGGGTGGTGGCGGGTTTAACGACACATTCATATTTGCGCGATCTAACCCCAAAAAAAAAACTATGATTATAATCGGTCTGCAGCGCGTACCAAATGCAGCCATTACAGCTGCACGAGCCACAGTCCTGAACCCTCACCCATTTCCCCTCGGCATCAGGAGGGGGGTTGGACGACTACAACCCCAGCTGCACGCGGTGATGAAAGTCTCTCTTGCAACTTTCGTCAGCTCGCCGAGAACAGGCTTTTGAATGGCTTCCTCCTAGGTGGATGCCCATCACCGCAGTGGAGGATTAGCAGGCGCATCAGCTCAACAGTAGGTCTTGTCGCTATATAGTCCAGCATTCCTGATGTGTAGATGTGCCGATGCCTGAACAGCATATTTTTTTGTTTACATACACCTCCATTCTCACGCACACCCTCACTCTCACACACACACGTACCCCTTCTCACGCACACACACCCGTACCCCCTCGGTGCACGCTCTCTTACTGTCACACGCACGTGCACCCACCTCTTAAGCACTGTACAAACTGGAGGACTAACGAGAGTCCTTGTAGATAGGACGGTGCTACTGGGATGGGGTGAGCTGGACGGGGTGAGTGGAATGGGGCCGATAGGACGGGGCCAACGGGACAGAGCGGACGGGACGGGGCCGATTTGATGCGAGTGAGTTGAGGTTTTAGCACTGAGTAGTGGTGAGTGTGAGTCTGGGCGGTCAGAATCGCCGTCATCTCGCGCGTCGCTCATCCCGGCCGGCAGGGGGCTCCCTTGGACCACTGCGGTGGAGACCAGGCCTTCGTGTACCTGTGTACAGGTGTGTCTGTGTGTATGAGTGGGGAGCGGTAGTGTAGCTTTTAGCGCGCTGCGCTACAAACCTGGCGACCCGGGTTCGATTCCCGCTCACGGCCAACACCAGTGACGATTATCTGAACCGGTCCCGGGCCTCCCCTAGGTCGACTCAGCCTCAAATGAGTACCTGGTGCGGCGTGTAAACATCGCCACTGGGGAGACAAAGGCGGCCGGGCGTAGTGCTGGCCACCGGACCCCCTCTTGTGCCGTGCCGGTCTACGTAGTTGCTCACTAACAGCACTTGCCCTAACAGTCTGTTAAGGCTACGCGGGGGATCTTTGTCTTTGATCCTTGTGTGTACCTCCCTGTGTAGGCAAGGGCGTGCTGTGCGAGCACCTGCTGGGGGAGAGCCAGGAGGCGAGCGACGCGTGCTTCCAGGAGGCGCTCTCCGCCGGCAAACCACTGCTCTGCGGCTTCTACAGGTGCTGGGGAGGGGGGCAGGGGGGGGGGGCTGTGGTGGCTAAAGGGGGGGGGAGGGGATGGGGGGCATGCGGGGATGTGGGCGGGCTGCTACGTCCCTTCTCGTGTGCAGCCACCGCAGTTTTTCAAGTATCGGGCTCGTGACGTGGCCAGCAGTGGATAGACCTTGGCTCGTGATGGGCCTCTCCACGTGCCCCTGCGTGGTTGCTTGTGGTTGTGAGCAGTCGTGAGCGGTTGCGTGTGGTTGTGGTCTTGCGTGGCTGTGAGTGGTTCTGGTTGTGTATGGCTGTGTGTGTCATTATGCCTGTGACGGCGTAATACGCCGTGTGATGCGAGTGATCGTGGTTGTCTTTGTTGTAATGTGTGGTTGTGTGTGGCTGCGTGGTACGATCCGAGTGTTTGTGTGCGATGTGAATGGGGTTGGTTGCATGTGGTTGTGACCGTAGTTGAAACCGCACAAGGGTTGGGCGACCCCCCACCCCCGTAGCACTGAGCCCCCCTTATAATGACTCCTACTTAAGGGTAATTTCATAAGTTTCTGACGACTGGCAACACACCTGTCTGTACATGGGGGAGGGGAGAAACGGGGTCACGCGGGGGGGGGGGGGGGGGGGCAGGTGGAGACGTGGCGCGCGCGGGGACACACAAGGAGGACTTGGAAGGCTTACAGACAAGTAGGGACACACGAGGAGACCTGGACAGAGACTGGAATGCACAGAGGCGAGAGAGGCACGGGTGGTGCGGAGACACGTGGGGGGACACTGGCATGCGCAGGGACACGTGGGAAATTACACAGGCATGGGGATGCACGGGAAGGCACGGGGGAAGGCACGGGGGAAGGCACGGGGGAAGGCACGGGGGAAGGCACGGGATGGTACGGGATGGCACGGCGAGGCACATGGAGTCACGGCGAGGCATGGGGATGCAAGGTGAGGCACGGGGAGGCACGGAGGGAGGCATGGGGAAGCACGGGATGGCACGGGATGGCACGGCGAGGCACATGGAGGCACGACGAGGCACGGGGACACAGGGAACCACGGAGAGGCACGGAAAAACACGAAGATTTGGGGACACGCGGTGAGATGAGAGCGTGGGGTGTGCGAGACGATGTGGGTTGTGAGATGGGGGTGCGTTAGACGGGGTGTGCGAGACGGGGTGTGGACCGATTGTGGGGTGTGGGGCATTAGTGTAAATCCCAGGAAATGTGTGTTTAAAAAGTGACAAGTGGGAGCGCGGTGGGATTATCCACCGCGACTCTCGCCCCGTGATCACACGGAGGCAGGTGAGCTCATTGTGATGACCCCAGCCACAACACACACCCCGACACAACACACACATTCCGCCATAACAAATACACACACACACTCCTCCACAACACACACTCCACCACAATGCACACACTCCACAACACACACATCGCCACAACACACACACACACATACTCTGCCACAACAGACAAGTCCAGGGCCTACCTGCGTGTGTGTGTGTGTGCGTGTGTGTGCGGTTCACACACTTGGCTATCAGCCTAGCCACCTGAGTTTTATTTCTGCCCATGGCTAACGTCAGTGGAAAATAATGACTGATTTGTGAGCCTCCCCGAGGTGGACCCAGCCTTAAATTTGCACGGTGGAGACCAAGGCAACCTGGCATGTTCATAGTACTGTGACCACACCACCCCCTCGTGCACCTTTACGGCCTTCATAGGTGCTCACGAACAGCACTTGCCCCAACAGCACTTGCCCCAACAGCCTTAAGCACTACATGAGGATTTTTGTATGTGTATGTGTGGGTGTCTACGTATGTGTGCGGAGCGGTGGCACACTAGTCGGCGGACGTGACGACCCATGTTCTATCCACACTCAAGGCCACCAACATCGGTGACGAATATCTGAACTGGTTTCGGTGCCTCCCCTCGGTCGACTCGGCCTCAAATGAGTAACCGGCGCAATGCGTAAACCATTGGCGCTCCGGAGACAAAGGCGGCCGGGCGTGGTGCTGGCCGCGCCCACCCCCTCGTGCGCACCGTGCCGGCCTTCATAGGTGCTCGCTAACAGCACTTGCCCCAAAAGTCTGTTAAGGCTATACGGGGGATCTTTGTCTTTGTGTGTACCAGGCGGTTCGACCCAGCCCTGCAGCTGATCCAGCGCCGCATCGAGGAGCGGGGGGAGTTTGGGCAGATCACGCGCGTGGCGGCGGTGAGCTACGGCTACCCACCCCCCAACTTCTCCCTGCTGCACAAGTCTGGTACTGACACACACGCACGCTCACGCACGTTCACTCATAAACACAACAACAACCGCCATTCGCCACTAAGTGGCGGTGACGTCACGATGACGCTTGTGCCAAGCCGTGTGCACCTTGATTCCAAGTGAAGTGTCGAACGCCCGCTGGCAGGAGGTCACGGGGCAGACCCAGGTGCCACGGGTCGACTGACTGAGACGACTGGCTGATGCACCACCTGTGCCCCCTACTGTGCCAACTTGCTGTGCTTTAGCCACCCGGCGCTCCGCTCGTTGTTGTGAGCACCGCTCCTCCGCCCTCCATTGTTGTTGGAGGGCGACTGCCTCCAACTGCACAGTAGCGTCCTTCACGAGCCTCCTCCACAGAGGCCATTCTTGACACCGCTGGTACCAGTCATCGGCAAGTCCACCGTTTAGCCCCCTCGATCCGGCCGAACAAAAGCTGTTTAGCCATGCGGTGACTGGGCATGTGGGCTGCATGGCCCAGCCACTGCAGCCTTGCCCTGCCGTAGGAGCTCACCGATGGGACCTTGTCCAGATCTTTCAAGGATTTGTGAGCTCCTCACACAATCCAGCCTGGTTAAATCCAGGATGGTTCGTAGGCAGGCCAGCCTAAATGTTTCATTAGGGGGGGTCCACGTTTTGGAGGGAATGACTGGCCGTGAAGACCTGCAGCTGCATGCGGAGCGACAGACCAGGTAGCTTCCACAATATTTCGCAACCGATGAAAAGATGATGCCGCTCGACTGATTCGGAGTGAAACCTGTGCTGTTAAACTGGAGCCGGTCATGAGCATTCTGCCCAGGTATGGGAAACTCTCCACAACTGCCCCATCAATTGGGAGTTGTGGGGGTGGAGTGTCCGATGGTACATAATACCCAGGCAGGTGCTTAGTTTTGGTGGGGCTGATGGTAAGGCCCCACCTCTTAGTGGCAAGCTCCAGGTTCAGCAGCAGTGCCTCCAGCTCCTCCTCTGAGTGAGCAGCAATTACCAGATCATCGGCATACATAACATGGTTGAGCAATAGGGAGCCATCCCTTGACCGCACCCGGGCATCAATCAGCCTCCCATTGTATCTGTACCAGATGGAAATTCCTCCGGTACAGCTATTGAAGGCTTCACGAACTACGTGGTCAAAATAGATGTTAAATAATGCGGGAGCAAGAGGACATCCCTGTCGCACCCCAAGGTGTACAGGGAATGGTGCTAACTCCCGGCCACGTAGTTTTACCCGGACCCACTCACCATCATGAAGGTCCTTAATGATCGTGAGCAGAGGGTCAGGGACTCCGAAAGCACGAAGAACAACCCACAGCCCAGGCCTGCTGATAGTATCATAGGCCTTGACCAGGTCAATAAAACAGAGATGTAGGTCCTGTTGGAATTCCCTACACCTCTGCTGTAGCAGACGGACAGAAAATATGGCATCCGTGCAGGACCGCCCTTTCCTGAAACCGCATTGGGGCTCCGCAAGCCTCTCCTCAGCGTGACTAACAAGGCGATGTTGAATAATCCTTGCCAGGACCTTTCCCGGCACACTGAGGAGTAAGATGCCCCTGTAGTTGTTACATTCTGTGCGGTCCTCCTTCTTAAAAAGGGGGACCGCCAGGGCATCCTTCCAATCCTGCGGAACCCAATCCAGTGGTCCATACTGTTGTTATGATGTCATATAGGGCAGTCTGTGCACAAACGCCACCCCTCAGCATTTGGCTTGGGAGATCATCTCTGCCCCGTGCCTTTCCTGGTCTCAGACTCTGGATCGCCCTCAGTATTTCCTCAACAGATGGCACCTCAGCCAGCCACTCACAGGGGGTGACTTCTTCTTCCTCCAAGATTTGAGGCACCGCAGCCTCAGCAGGGTCATCCCCACTTTGTCCCACGTTGTTTTCCTGGTGGAGGGATTTTCCCTACCCCAGGACCTCACAGAAATGTTCAGCAAATCCGCAAACCTGTTCCTGGGGGTCGGAGATTGGATCACCGTTCTTTCCCCTAATGATGGTAATAGGTGTGGCACTGCAGGTTACTTTTTTTATGGAATTAAAGAGCAATTTGTGATCGCGGGCCATTGAGGCAGACTCCATCTCCTCAGAAACCCACAACCACCACCCTTCCTTGCAGCGCCTCACAGCTCTCCGAACCTCCGAGCGAAGGCTGCGGTAAGCCTCCTCATTCTCTGACGTGGGATGCTGTAGCCGATGACAGTGGGCCTGTCGCTTTTTCTCAGCTAGTCTGAACACCTCCTCTGTCAGCCAGAGTCTCTGTGGAGGTCTGGACCGTGTACCCAAAGCAGCCATTGCAGCTGCATGAGCCACAGTCCTTAACCTCGCCCATTTCCCCTCGACATCAGGAGTAGTGGGGGACGATGCCAACCCGAGCTGCAAGCGATGACGACGTTTTCGCCCATGGGCATGTAATTACCAATACGCTGTTCCGGCATCGGCGCAAGGCCTTGTTATTACCAATACACTGTTCCGGCATCGGCGCATCCACACAACATCATGGATGCACGCCGGGTCCAAGCAAGAATATCTGCTGGACTACATAGTGATGGAACAGCGGATGCGGGCCCATGTCCTTGACACCAGTATCTGCCCACTGACCATCGACTTGTCATCTGTAAGATGCGCCTGCCATTCTTCCACTCCGGTGGTGGGTGTCCATCCAGGACCCATTCAAACCCACAGCTAGCTGATGAAGGTTACACTCATACACATACATACACACACTCCCTGTTGCAGAAGCCTGGTACTGACACACACATGTACACACACTTACTCATAAATACACACAGCTACCCACACCTCTCAACCTTTCTCGATTGACACAAACTCACTCATACACAGTCCTACCATCAAATACACACATACATTCATATACTTACTCATACAATCATACATACATACACACTCACTCCCTGCTGCAGAAGTCTGGTACGGACTCACACACACTGTCACGCACACACTCAATAACATACGCACACACTGATACACATGCACACACACACACACACTTATTCACATACATACATACAGACGTACAGGTGTATTGCATACAGTACATACCCTCGCATAATCATACCCAAACACACGAGCGCCAGGGCCCCGGGGAAGAGAGGACGGGGTGCAGCGCTGGGTGTGGGGATGGGGGACGGGGGGATTCAATCATTATGTGGCGGCCTGTGGTTTAGGTGTGATTTCAGAGGGGTGCGCGCGCATGTGTGTGCGTGTGTGTGCGTGTGTGTGTCTGTGAGCAAAGGATTGTTTTGAAATAATGTTTGTGTGCGTACCGTGCGTGTTGTTTATGTGCGAGGGTACCAGTGTAAATGTGCGTGTGCGCATTCGTGCGTGTGTGCGCGCGAGGGACTGTTGTTTTGAGCGAATGTGTTTGTGTACGTACGCGTGTGTGTGTTGTTTATGTTTTGTGTGTATATGTGCATGCGCGTGGATTTGTGTGCCCGTGCGTGTTTGTACGTGTGCGCATGTACACGCCACGCGTGTACGACACCGTGCCCCCTCGTGTGTGTGTCGTGCCGGCCTTCATAGGTGCTGCTTGCTAACTGCACATGCCCCAACAGTCTGTTCACGCTATACGGGGCATCTTTGTCTTTGTGTACACACGTGGGGAGCGGTGGCACAGTGGTTAGCGCACTGCGCTACGAACATCAGTGACCCGAGTTTGATTTCGACTCGCCGCCAATTACAGCAGCGAATATCTTAACAGGTCCTGGGCCTCCCCTAGGTATACTCAGCCATAAACGAGTACAGATAGTCCCCGAGTTACAATGGTCCGACTTACGATATTTCGATCTTGCGATGGCGATAGCGATACGACTAAATTGTAAAATACTTTACATTTCACGTGGCAGGCAAACGCAGCAGTGAACGATACGTTCAATGCATGTATGATACATAGCTTTAGCGATTTCATTTTAGGGTTACCACGATACCATACGTTCAATGCATGTTAAAAGTTTTTTTATAGCAGATAGGATTGTTGTTTCCTGAAAAAACCTTTCTATGAAATTGCAGTTCATATAGGTAGGCTAAGAATTTACCTTGTTTTTTTACTTTACTTTTCACTGTGCAATTCAGTATTATGATTAATAAATACATACAGTATATAGTTTATACAGTACGGTACTGTAAATTGCTCTGTTTTGCTAAATTACCACCATTCTTTAAGACTCCCGGGTAGGCTAGGGCCATCTTCGACTTACGATATTTTTGACTTACGATGGGGTCGTCGTAACGCATCTCTATCGTAAGTAGAGGACAACCTGTACTTGGTGCGGTGCGTAAACATCGGCCAGGTGGCTACGCAGCGGTGGAGGGAGGCAGCTCACAATCGAAAGGTTTGCAAGTCTCCAATCCTGGTTGGGGGTTAAATCGGCCCATCATTAACCCTTCCCCTGGGGTCAAGAAAAACGAGGACCACTTTTTAGGTGTTCTCTACGAAAAACTTGCTCCTGCCATAAGAACGTGGAACGTCCATCGGTGGCTCAGGGCTGTATACAGGATATGAGCACTGCCTCAATGCTCATTCGAGCAGGAAATCGCTTGTGTAAACATCAGCACTGGGGAGATAAAGGTGGCTGGGCGTGGTGCTCACCACCCACTCCCTCGTGTGCCCTGCAGGCCTTCATAGGTGCTTACTCACAGCACTTGCCCCAACAGTTTGTTGAGACTATACGGGGGATCTTTGTCTTCATGGAGTGAGTGTCAGTATGTTCCTTGTGGGGAACGGTGGCGCAGTGGTTAGCACACTGCACTACGAACCCAGTGACCCCAGTTCAATTCCCACTCAAGGCCAAAAGTGGCGACGAATATCTGAACCGGTGCTGGGCACTCCCCTAGGTCTGCCCGGCCTAAAACGATTACCTGGTGCTGTGTGTACACATCAGCATTGGGGAGACAAAGGCGGCCGAGTGTGGATTCCTGCCACTCCGCAGGCCCCCCTTCTTTCGGAGCGCCGTCCGCAGGTGCTACTCGCCAACGGCACTTGCCC